GCCTGTCCTTCTGAATCTTTCTAATCTATTAATTCCAAATCAACCTGAACACATTTATGTTCTTGATGAACAAGTTTTTATTTCTCTTTCAGTTAAAAAGGAAAGTGCTCCAGTGCCAGGTCTGGGGACGGTGACCTTTCTTTATCCTTAAAACAGAAATGGGTGATGACAGTTCTGGCTCTCTGTACACAGGCTGTGGTCAGAGCGCCTCATCTTCTGCCTGGAGGCAACACTTTTAACAGTGAGCACCCAGTTTGATTAAGTCCCTGGCCCCAATCAGCAAAGATACGGATTAACATCATTTCCAAGCCCTTTTGAAAAGAATTTCTCAGGGTCTTGAGAATGCCAAGTAATAGTATTATAAAAAGTGGAGGGAAAACGACAGCATTGCATTTGGAAGAGCTTTGGGTTTTGCCCCATATGGGTATGTAAAGTTAATTACACTGATTAGTCACACAGCTGGTTACAGTGCTAAGGATGTTCATTATGAATACAGATTAATATTATGCTTAAATTTGAAGACACGTGAGTTTGGGAGATTGAAAGAGTTACTGTTGAACATTAATATTAACTACTGGCAGGAACCAGAAATTCTCCTTTTAATTATAGTGAAAACATCCACAAGGAATTTGTCACTGCTATTTTCTTAATTACAATGAAGTATTTTTCCATCTGATTACATAAGCTCATTGGTCCCAAAACTCCTGTAGTTTCATTGTCTGCTACCGCAGGAATCAAAGAGCTGGAATGCCCCAGTCTGTCTGGAGACAGCGGCAGGAGAGGGGCAGGCTCTGCTCTCCTCCTGCTTTGTAATTTGCTCGTCAAAAAGCCAGAATTCTGCCAGACGCAGTTACTCAAGCCCCAGTTTCAGTGCAGAAAGGAACACTTGGCAGCACACGGATCCCTCTATTCTTCCAGTCTCTGCACAGTCCCCCCTCGCCCCCTCCCAGCCTTTCTCGTGCCCCGTCTCCTCCTGCTGAGCACAAAGAATGTTTGCGCCCAGGCCCTGGAACCACCTTCCTGGGGATTTCTAGCATTTCAAAGGTTTTATTTAACTTCTTCAGAGGAAAGCCACCAGCATAAAGGAGAGCCCAGATTCCTTAGAAGAGCACAGAATGACACAGTCCCAGCTCTGACTTACCTGTCTTTGCATGTCAGTGACGTTTTGCTCGTACTGGTTGAAGTCATGCCTCTTTCCATGAGACTTTGTCCTGTGCCACTCTAGGATGCAGCTCTCCAGCTGAGCGTTGGCTGCTTCTAAGGCTCTCACCTTGTCCAGGTAGGCGGCCAAGCGCTCATTCAGGTTCTGCATGGTCTGTTTCTCATTGCCCCCCAGGAAGATGCTTTCCCCATGGTGCTCGCCGAAGCCTGCCCAGGGTGCCCCTCCTGCAGGCAGCCAGAGGGGTCTGGCGGAGGAGAAGGAGGGATGTGTGCTGCTGGCACCACCATCTGCACTTGACGCTCTGTAAGAAGTTCCTTGCTGGGCCAAACCACACCCTGAACTACCCCTGAGGGACCCAGAAAAAAACTGGAAAGGGCCTTGGCTGGTGCTCATGCTTAGCTCTGTGTGAATCGAACCCCGGCTTTGGCTGCCTAGCACTGAGCAGCCTCTTCGCCTTCCCTGAGCAGCTTTATGCCTTTTCCTGTGGGAGTTTCCCTTCGATGAATGACTACAGCAACAAGATTGTGTCATCACGAAACGTGCTTCCTCTTGGTCAATTCTGAAGCATTTATGAGCCTGCACACTGTTGTTGTTTGGAATCAGCCACATACCGGATTGCTTTCCTTTCGCTTGTTTGGGTTTTTTTTTCTTTTTCTTTTCATATGATAATAATGAGGTGTGGCCAAAATCCCGTAGGTGTGGAACAGGATCAGCTCTGCCTCAGACTTCTCTCTAACCCTGTAGTTAGCATGTTATGTTTTCCTGCTCGTGAGGGGAATAAATGGGGAGCTGGGGTAGGGATGGGGCTCTGCAGATGCTTTCTGTCCAAATTCTCAGATGTAGAATTACAGCAGCCTGTGGATCCTCAGACCCAGCATGTGCTATCTGCCGTCATTAATGACCAACAGCTTCAGCCTGTAGGAGACACCAGGCTTTAATGAAGTGATTCAACTTCTAAACTAAAAAACCTCCAGTCCGGAGTCAGTAATGCCCAGCTGTTCCCCACAGCTACCCATTCCCAGGGGAAACACATGAGAATTAGATACTTTATATTTTCTACTGATTTTCTCACAATTTGAGGTTCAGTCCTGTTTCAATGGTCTTGTCACAATAGGCAGCAATGCAGGGATTTCCTGCTGTTCCCAGCATTAACACAGTTAAGATATTTGTATCCTTAGCTAGAGAAAATATTTACAGTGTGAGTTTGTAGCAAGTCAAAAGCTTCAAGTAATTATTGAAAGCTGCCAGCCTTAGAAATGGACCTGGCAATCCTTCAGGAATAGTCTTCCTCAAAAGTCTCAGTGATTTCTGTGGAGCTGCTTCCATCAAACACAGAACAGGGGAGTCCTGTTCCTCCTGCTGGTAAGGGGGGGCTAAACCGGGAAGCGTTCCCGTGGCAGCCGCTGGGGTTAGAGGATTACCTTGTCTTTAAGGGTAGTTCTGGTGTGCAACTGAGGGATGGGATAGAGGAGAAAGATTTGGGAAGAGGCTGATTTCCTTACCCAGGTGAAAGCTCAGCCCTTTCCCGGGGTCTGCCTCGGCCCTGCTGCTCAGCCTGAGCGGTGGGGTCAGGGAGACTGCACGGAGCCGAGTTACACTGTCCTGGCAGAAACCTGGAGGGGTGTGTTTTTCTCTGTTTAATTCGGAATGCTGCAGCAGTCAGGAATCGCCGCACTCCAGCCTTCCCTGGGTACCTCCCGGCCTCTCTCCTGACGTAGCAGGTGCGGGGCTCCTCCTCGTGGCTCGGGCTCGGCTCTGCTCGGCACCTGCTCCTTTCCTTTTCCCAGTTCCCTTTCCGTGGAGCGCGTGCTCCCTCTCCTTCCTCAGGCACTCCGGTGTGGAGAGATGCTGCCGTTTGTAACTGTTTGGGACAATTACCCGCTGAAAACAGGGTTATCCAGTGAGTGCCAGGCTTGGCTCTCCCCAAACACTCTGCCAACAGCCACTGTCCAAGCTGCAGTTCAGGGTCAGCCCTGCTGTTGGAGAGCGGGGTGAGCTTGAAGCACCTGACAAAAACTGGGGGCCTAACTTGAAAAAAAACCCCAAATTTCATAGAACTGATGATATCCTGCTGTTCAGCTCATCTCACCAGAGATCATTTTCAGACTGAATTTCCATCCAGCAAGCTGGTGTCTATGAACTATTACACGGAAATGGAAATGCACCTGTATGTACGTAGTAGTATGTAAAATAAAATTAATCCTTCGTTTCACGGGATATTCCCAAGCTGCCTGGCAGCGAGGCTGGCAGCGTGTGAGACCAGAGAGCCTCTGTCCTGCTCCCTGCGAGTTTCATGGAGTTACCACATTGTGAAAACCAGAATTGTATTTTCTCTCGCAAGTAATACAGAGCACAGGTGGTCTGGGACATGGCAAGGGCTTCCTCTGAAGCTCAGCCTTTCCAAACTGGGAAAGACACCACACAATTTTCATTCACCCATGTTGAGGATCCATGAAAAAGATCAAACAACTGACTTCCAAACCTGACACGGCTCTTTGTCAGGCTGCACTGTGGGTCTGGGGCTTAGTCACCACTTTAACCCAGAGCAGAGAATGGAAGCGATGATCGGAGTGTGGAAATAAACCCTTGTCAGCAGATGGCACCCTTGGATGCTCCCTGGGAGCTGGGGAATGGGAGAATGCACTGTCCTGGAACTGTGCTTGTTGTACTGAATTGGAACAGGGAAAGCAGACTGAGCTGAATTTCTAGGCTGCACTTTAAGTACAGGAGAATATTTTGACACCTACATCGTACAGGTCAATGTCCTGCAACCATCACTGGTTCATTCAGCTCCTCCATCCAGAACTCAAGTGGATGGATAGCTGCCTGTGGCTGTTGGGAATTCCACCTCTTGCTGTTTGAGTGATACAAACAATAGTTACCTTGGATCAGGAAAAGAGGTCATTTGTGCTGCTTGGCTTTCCTTTTCTGGTGCATTATGATGTTGCTTTGCAAGAACCTCTTCCCAGTTCCTTCCAGTGGGAATACCAGCAGGATGTGCATTTCTTACCAGTGGCACCAGTGATCCTGTGGTCTCACTCATGGCCAAACTGGTGGTGCCAGCAGTTTAGATTTCTTTTAAGTGTCAGGAAATAGGAAACACAAAAGTAGGGGCTCTAAGGAGGTTGGAAAGAGAATAAAATTCTAGAAATTACATCATTTTTGCAGACACTGTTATGCAGACACTGATGGGTATTGAAATACCCATCAATGGGGCTAAGGACACCTTTTCCAAACAGGTTATGGGAGCACAGTACAGCATTTAGATAACTCCTTATGTACTCCTGAGGTTGGGATTCACCAGGCTCTTAAAGCTTTGTCAGCATCTCCTCAGTTCCTCCGGTGTGGATTTGCAGCTGGGAGAAGGTGGTGTGGCCAGTACAGCAGCCACAGCACTGACACGGGCTGGGGAGGTTCTGCCTGATGGGAGAGAACCAAAACAGCCACAGCAAACTCTGAGCAGCTCATTTCACCTGGACCATGCCTGGAGCTTCCTCAGGAGCTGAGGGCATTTCTCTTTGTGCTGAAGGCAGTACAGGAACAGATGGAAAAATACTGGGTTTTGCAGAGGTGCATTTTATTTGTGCATGAATTGTGTGCTTGGCATTGAGGACAAAGAGCTTTAGGGTTTTTTATGTTATCTTCTCCATTTTTTACTGATACCAGCTCCAGATCCCTGGAAGAATTTATTGGCACTTTGTATCTGTTCATCACCATCTCTGTTGTTATTATTATTAAAGTTGTGACTGTTATTGCTGTTGTTACCCCTGCTGGAAGGGTGTGTGGGCTGTGTGTGGCAGTGCCACACTGACTCCAGAAAACACCATCAGACTGGATATATTTGCACAAGCAGAACAGAAACTTTATTATGTAGGAAACAATAGAGCACTGACAGAGAACAGGCATCTCTGACCCAGCGAGTCAATACTCATGTACAAAGGCAGAGCAAATCTAAGGAAAGACATTTTTGGGTACATTCTTGTGATTTGGGGGGAGTGAAAGGCTCTTTCTCTCAGCATTAGCCAATATAGAAGCTGCACTGGTTCCATGTGGAATCACGTGAAAGAGGGGATTCAGTATTTATTCATGGGAATCTCCTGTCACGGGTAGAACCAGATCCAGATCTTCCCTCATCTTCTGTGCTAACACGAACTCTTCCACTGATCCCAAATGATGCTGGAGGAGGAATAAAACAATTAAATAGGGAAGAAAAAACCACCACACAGCCAAGGCCCTGAGGAGCTGAGCAGTGCAGTTGTGTTTGTTGGTTTCCTCACAAGATCTTTCACATATCAAAGGCAGAACTGCCTTTACATCTTATCTGCTTTCCCTCCTGGTCCTTATCCAGAAAAAACTTAGGAGTGCACATCACATGTGGATTTGGAAGTATCTTGTATGTTGTGTGAATAGCAGAGGAATTTAGAAATCTTTGGGAGATTTTGGTGGTTTAGATTCCCATGCAATCGTTATGGCAAAATGATGGTTTCAAAAGTGAACATAAAATAAAGTGTTATGATTTTGCCTGTACATGATACAGAAAGTGGTCATTGCAGGAGAATGGAATCTGTGGTAGGAAGAAGAAATCCAAGGCAAAAAGCCAATAAGTTTGTTTAATCCTATTTTGCCTGTTCATTTCAGCCCTTTGTTAAATAAAAATGTTTCTTACCGTCCTTGGGGTTCACTCCTGACAGCCTGTAGAAAAGAAGAAATATTTCATTAATGACCATCCCTGACCCTGTCCCCTGAAGCCATTGATCCATTTAGGAATTCGTGTGAACAGCCAGGATTTCACAGGGCTGCTCTCAATGGCTGGTTTCTCAGGTGTGTTGTTACCTGAGGTGGTGTTAAGGTGCTTTCAGCTTTGAAAGCCACCCTTATGTACTTAAGAGGGAATGTGAACAGCCCTCAGACCAGTTCCTTGTCCTGATATCTCCATATACTGCTGCTCTCCTCAGAATGCCTCTTCTAGAAACTATATAAGGACTAATTCCATGTATGGATCAGATATGAGGAATGGGCATGAAAAAGCAGATTTTCCTGAAGTAAGCTGGGGTCTGTACTAAGCTCTTTTCTAGATGGGGGTACTGGTGTGTGAGGATGGATATTTTCACCTCTGCACAAATGTAGAAAACCACGAGCTAAAGAAATACAGGGAGCAGGTTTTTATAGGTTGTTTCAGGCTGAAGGCTCTAATTCCAGTGCAAACAGAGGGTTATGTGGGATGTACATATGGTGCCTGGTGCCTTCTGTAATTCACTGTAGTCAAATTGGTGGCATTTGTATTTTCAAATCCCCAGCACCGCTGATGTGCAGATTTAGCTGGAGTTAGGGCAGCACCAGGGATTTTCCTGGGCACCTGCTTTGCCAGTGCCCCACAGGCTGTGCGTGCAGTGCCTCAGCTCTGCGGGGTGAGCCCGGCAGCCCCAGCTCCCACCCCACACAGTGCCTGTGACTGCCCCGATCTGCTGTCAGGGTTCGGGCAGAGTCACGTACTGCAGGTCCTGGCCCTCCAGCAGGTGCCGGTACGTGGCGATCTCCTGCTCCAGGCGACTTTTGATGTCCATGAGCATCTTGTACTCCTGGTTCTGGCGCTCCATGTCGCAGCGCAGCTCGCTCAGCTGCTCCTCCACGCTGGTGATGAGGGCCTGGATCTGGGCCAGCTGCGCGCAGTACCGGCCCTCCGTGTCCCGCAGGTTGGCCTCCAGCCCGGCTTTCTAAAGCAGGATCATGTCAGAGCAGGTTACAATGCAGGTTTGTGCCACGGAGGGGGACAAGGAGAGGCAAGACAGCAAGGGAGGATGGGGACAGTGTGAGGCAGTGCCTGGAGACGTGCTCGGGGCGGGTCCGTACCATGCTGAGCTGTGACTGCAGCTCGATCTCCAGGCCCTGCACGGTGCGGCGCAGTTCTGTGATCTCCGTTTTGCTGGTCTGGATCTGCTGTGTGTGGGTGGCAACTTCACGGTTCAGCTCGTCAGTCTGCAAGGAAAAAACAACTGTAAAATCACATATATACTGTATAAAAAAAATTCCATTATTTTGAGAAGGGAGGGAGGCACCTGCCAAGGCGGTAATGCAGAGGCACGTGTGACTGTACCTGAGTCAAGAACCAGGCCTCAGCATCCTTCCGGTTCCTCTCAGCCAGAGCTTCGTACTGTTCCCTCATCTCGGAGAGGACTCTGGTCAGGTCGATGCCAGGAGCCGCATCCATTTCCACGTTGACTGTGCCGCTCATCTGGTTCGAGTACTCCTTCATCTCCTGCATGGGCAGAAGGCAGAGGACACAGAAAGATCAGGCTCCCTCCTCTCACACCCTTCCTGCCCCAGTGATCCCTGCCATGGCACACAGGACCTGGGCTGTCAAGTCTCACAGGTACAACACACATGAAACATTTATCCCATTTTCTCTCTCCTTGCACAGGCTTCCCTACTCTCCGTGTACTCACACACCACGCACGTTTTTACATGTGACTTATACTATGCTTCATTTACAAGAGACATAAATTCCAAAGGGAAGTGATCTTCTCTCTGCACTGTCAGGACTCACCTCCTCGTGGTTCTTCTTCAGATAAGCCAGTTCCTCCTTCAGGCTCTCGATCTGCATCTCCAGGTCGGCTCTGGACAGGGTCAGCTCGTCCAGGACGCGGCGCAGGCCGTTGATGTCGGACTCCACGCTCTGGCGCAGGAACAGCTCGTTCTCATACCTGCAGTTCAAAACAGAAACAAGCACTGGAACGTGTCCGAGTTTGTGCTCAGTACAGCTGTGAAATGATCACGTTTAACACAGAATACAGGAGGAACAGTGGGCTGTAAATGAAAACATACAGATCGAGAAGAAGTGTAAAATGGCACATGGAAGCACGGGCACTGCCATCTCGTTTTGTTCCTGAGGAGGATGTGACCATTCACCTTGCAGAACCTAATGAGGATTATCAGCATCCACAGAAACGCCGTCACACAGGACAGGCCGTTTGCAGTGTCCTCTGGGATTTGGAGAGGAGGAAAGCACAGGTAGCCTGGGGCTGTCTGGGACACGAGAGGGAAAATAGGAACCTGCAGGTGCACCACTGCAAGGGAGAGCAGCTGCGCAGGGACCTTGATCATCTACTGAATGTGCTGCTGAGCCCGGGGCATGGAAAAGCCCCATGTTACCCTTGGTCTTTCTTTTTTAAATTTCAAGCTCTGTGGCAGAGAATTTCTGCAGCCCCACAGTGATCTCTTCCTGCCACTCTGTTCCTTCTCAGTGAAAATCCCAACCTATTCTTGCCTTCTTTCCCCCATGACTCAGGCTAGTAAAAATAGTTAAGAGCATCATGAAAAAATGAAGAGCTGGGCTATAACTCATTATGCAGACTGCTCAGTGATCTGGAGGTTGTGTTCTGTCAGGTTTATATTCTGAATTGGTCCTTCATCAGTTCATTCTGTTTGCCAGGGTTTTTTGCATCAGAATTTACCAAGGAACAATACCTGCCTTTCAGTGACTGAAGAACTTTATTTTCTACACAAGAAGTAACATCAAGCTTCAAAAAACTGTTTTGAGAGAAGGAGAAAAGTGAAGACAAATGTGCCCCAGGTGAACTTACTTCAGTCTGAAGTCGTCGGCAGCCAGCCTGGCATTGTCGATCTCCAGAATGACCCGGGAATTGTCGATGGTAGCAGCAAGGATCTGGCAATTAAGAATCACAGAGAAAGGGTCCTGTGAGTAACGGTGAAATACCGGATCCACACTCCGTGAGCAAACCAGAGATACTCTGTGCAACGTGGATTAGAACCATAATTAGGAAATACATTTGTACAACCCCTGATCTTATCTGTAGCCAGGAGAATTACCTTTCCAGCTTTTGAGGCCTACCTGTCACATTCTTTACGATTTGATTCCTGAAAAAATATGTTGAAAAATCTAAACACATTTTGCCACATTTTGCTAACACTTAATGTGAACATTTTAATTTCAATGAACATCACATTGTCACAATAAGATATTTAGTGTTTAAATTGAAAACAAGCTACTCTTTTCTGCTAGAATGCTCATGACCTCAGTGTATTTGGGATTGAGGAATTCAGTATTTCTTTTCTAATTATTTGAGCTTATTTTAAAGAGATGGAATATGCAGTTCCATAATTCTCTTGTGTTCTTATAACTCCTCTACATATGAATGTCTCACCTTGTCTCGGAGATCTTCAATTATCTTGTAATAATTGCTGTAGTCCCGGGCGGGGCTGGTGGGGGCTTGTTTCTGGTACCACTCTCGGATTTTCACTTCCAAATCTGAGTTGGCCTCTTCCAGGGCCCGCACCTTGTTCAGGTACGAGGCCAGCCGGTCGTTCAGGTTCTGCATGGTTATCTTCTCGTTGCCGGAGAGGAGCCCATCGCCGCCCCCAAAGCCACCGCCGAGGTCAAAGCCGCCCCCAAAGCAAGAGCCCCCTCCAAAGCAAGAGCCCCCTCCAAAGCCAGAGCCCCCTCCAAAGCCAGCCCCTCCACCAAAGCCACAGGCTGCCCCCCCGCCAAAGCCTCCTCCGTAGCCCCCCCCAAAGCCGGCGCTCAGGCCCCCGCCGTAGCCGCCTCCTGCAGAGGAGACGTACCTGGCCGAGGAGACGGAGACGCCGCGGCCGCCGGAGCCGCCGTGGATGCTCGGGGCGCGGAAGGTGCCCCCGGCGCGCACCGAGGACAGGCGGGAGCTGCCCCCGGCGCCCCCAAAGCCGCCCCCGTAGGTGGAGGAAGAGCTCACGAAGGTGGTGGCCATGGCTGGAGCAAGGGAAGGAGCAAAGGGCAGCTGTGCAGCGTGGGCAGAGAGGAGAGGCTGTGCCTTCACTGCCCTGGTGCCTCTTTTATACCCTCACGATCTGAAACCCCACTGCAGCCCTCCCTCCAAAATTCCTCCTCCCTGGGGGTGAGGCCAATTATGATGACATTCCTGACAAGCAGCGCTGGCAGCACATCGCAGGGGCTTGGGGTTTCTTTTTTTAATTAAACAAAAGGCATGAATCAGATGAGTGTTTTTTCTTCGGGCTATAGTTCTGAAACTTGGAGTTTACTTCTCTGACATTCAAGAGTGGAAAAACAAAGTGAGTTCAGCCCCACCCCACCTGCCCGTTTACAACACTCACCATGGCTACATTCTGAAAATCAACTTGATCTGAAAACTAAGTTAAATTAAAATTCTCCTTTCATTGAAAAATATACAATCATCACTTCATCTCACCGTTATTTGTCCTTTTCTGTCCATGTTTTTCCCTTTAAAATTTTGGAATTGAATTTGAAATGTTCTTATTCTTGATCGTTGCTTGGAACTAATATTTAGATTTTGGAGTCCGAATTTTTAGTACAAAAAGCACCAATTCATGGCATCATGTGAGGAACAATCAGCATCCATCAGTGTGCAAGGGAGAGCGGGCACAGTTAATTTATTAATGCTTGTGAGATAGTCAAGAAGGGTAACACAAGACTGAAATAATTAGAAGAGGAAATGTAGGAGGACTAAGGTTCTGTTACTTTGAAAAACTTAAGGAAAATGGGCTTAAGATGAGGAGGTGTGAGCTGCCTGTGTACCCTGCTGGGATGGGGGTGTGGGGACTGTGGCAGGGGGGGAGTTTGGAGAGCCCCGTTCTCTGCACACCACGGTGACACTGCTCGGGTGAAGGATGTTGAGATGTTACTGCAGGTGCAGGGATGAGCAGCCTTTCCACTTGGGGATGTGCACTTGGGAGGGAAGAAATGGCCAAGTCCAGCTGTGATGTCCCTTGCCAGGCTGGCTCTGGGCACGGCTGAGCACGAAACACGGGGTGCTCTCAGCTCTGGAAACGTGTTTCAAACCGAACTTGGCCCTTTGCCACAGCCCTTCAGTTTTGCTGCTGGGCAGATTAATGGCTCTGCATACCTTGCCAGATCTGTGTGTCTCCAAGGGTTGGTGGCTCAGGAGACAAGTTCAGACAAATCCTCCCAAAGATAAAAGAAGTCTCTTTGAGACCCCTGTAATGTCAGTGCCCCGAGGTGTGTGCGCTGCCAGGGGCTGTTCAACCCAGTGAGCACACAGTAGGCAAATCAAATTCCGTTAAAAAAACCCAAAAAACAAACAACCAGCAAACAGACCTCTAGAAAACACCGCAAACTTCAGCAGGAAACTTTGGGGAATTTTCATTCAGTCTTCTTTCACTCAGGCTTGATAACTCCTTTGGTAGGTCGCTGGTGAAACACATTTTGCTGCTTTTCACTTGGGCATCACTCTGGATTGGATCAGAGAGACACAAAAGAGGTAGCAGATAAAAGCTGTTTCTTAATATTTACCATTGGGAAACTAAAAATCAATCAAACAGCCAATACAGATCATGTCCTATAACATTATTCAGACAACCATTTCTACAGCGTTTTCTCCTTACGGTCTGTACAAGGAAACAGAAGCCCATCACCTGCTGAAGTGAAAAGAAGAGCCCTTTTTCCAGTTTATGCCTTTATTCTGGTCTCACTGTCTTTGCTCTGAGATTCCTTATCCAGTGTCTTGACACACAGACTTGTCCTTTGCACACTCTCAGCGTTGTACCTGTGGTGCACAAACTCCTTGGTTTGTCATCTTCCACGGAGCTTTCCTGGAACACATCCCCTGACATGCCTGTGCTGCACAAACCCTTTTGTTACCTCTGCTGTGGGATTAACGGAGCTGACACACTCCAGCCCCTCCTCTCAGGACAGCAAGTTCGAGTCAAGCAGCAGCTTGTTTGTCATCTCAGTGATAAGTCTATGACTGATAGACCCATCACTCAGAGAAGAACCTGACATACCTTTACAAAACTTTTTTTTTTTTCCTGAGCCAGGTTCTAAAATTATAGTGTCTGTGTATTTTATATTAAACATTTCACCAGAAATCCTTCATTGCCCTGCAGATATGGGACAAAATCAATACAACTATAAAATAAAATTAGGCTATAAAACCAAGAATTCAGGATTCTTATAGTTTGCATTCCTGGAGCAAAAAGAATTTCTTGTCAGACGTTCACATTTGCAGCTGGACAACACCAGAAATCTGCACCAGTGACCTCACACCCCGACTGGTTTTGTCACAAGAACTTCCTCTCAGGGAATGGGATTTATTAAGATTAAAAACCAAACCTGGAGTTGTTTGTCCTGTCTTCTGAGGGGGTTTCCAGGTCTGATTGTTGTAGGGAGTAAGTTTGGTACAAAAATGTGCATTAGCAAATGTGTCAGCCCTCAGGAACTGCCTGTGCTGAACCACTGAAAGCTGCTTCTCCTGGCTCTTCCCAAAGCAAACCCCGCAGAAATGGGTGAGCTCCTGAAGAACCCCCTGCTCCCCATGGGCTTTTCAGGCCACTGCTCCCTTCAATTCTGCCCCTGTTTCCCCCTGTTCTCTTGTCCCTTTCTCCATGTCTCTTTGCTGGTTCTTACTTTTCGTCACTGTTTTTGTCTCCTGTCACAGTGCCTAAAGCCACCGTGCCTCATTCCAGAGGCGGAGCTGGCATTGTCGGTGTCAGAACTGACAGCTGATCTTGACAGGTCCCCTGAGTCACCGCTGAGCCAAAACCAGGCACCAGCACCTTGGGACTGAAGAGGGTTGTCCTGCGTCGAGGGAGCAGGGCCAGAGCTTTGGGGTGCTCTGAGCCACGAGAACACTCCATTAATCTGGTGTGAACATTTCTCAAGGCCAAGGAGAGAAGTGCTGAAGGATCCGGTGATGTGTCACTGAAACACAGGCTGCACTCTGACCCACTCTGGGGGAGAGCAGTGTTGGGATGCTTCCAGTCTGGACATATCCCTGTTCCCACTCCCCCTCAGCTGAGGAGCCTCTGGTGACAGTGGGAGCTGGGAAGGTGCTGGTTGGGCTGGAGCCATGGGTTGCTTTTAGCACAAGCCCTGAAAAGTTTCCTCAGCTGTCAGGTTGGAGAGGGGTGGTAGGAAATGAAATAATCGATTTCTGGGGCTGGAAAAGTGATTCCGTTTGGAATTTCAGCTGGGATAATACACCTTCAACAGCATGAGAGAGAAGGGGGCTGAAATTGGTGCTAAAGGTTGGTAACCTCTGTGTGAACTGGGGGAGGAAGTGAAGAATTCTCCCAACTGCTGCTCAACCCTGTCTGTTCCTGTAGGAGTTTCCTGCGACCCAGTTTAACAGCTTTATGTTTTACTCTAATGAAACGTCTCCCAGCTCCTGCTGCTCTCTGGAATCACTTCCCATCCCACTGCCCCTGCTCTGCAGAGTGCTCAGTGGTGTCCTTAAAAACCCGAGTCACTCTTGTGTGCCCCACTGAGGGGCTGGGGATGCTGTTGCCTCCTTATTCTGAGCTCCTGCCAGCAAGAGGAGACAGAAGGAATCAGGATGGAGCCCAAGCCACCCCCACACTGTGAGCACTCCCCTCTCAGGGAGGCTGCCTGGCTAATTCCTGCCTGAGTAAAGCCAAACTGCACTGAAATATCACAGTAACTCCAAAGAAGCAAAGATTGCAAGAAGATCATCTTTATTTGAGTAGATGCAGCAATTCAGTACATGCAAGACCTGGAAAAAATTGCAAAGCTGACTCTATTTGCAACTGAATCACCATTTTGTGAGTGTAGCTGCCGAAACTTTGTGTGCCCAAGAACTTTCTGTGCTTTAAAAGTCGATTCCAGCCGTTCAGAGTGATTCCTCTCCGTCTCAATCCCCGTGTGCTGTCTGTCTTTCCTCACTTTGCAGATGACCTTTGGAGGATCCTCACTGCTGTTTCCCATCTCCCCGCTTGTCTCTTTTGTCTGCAATAACATGGAGAGAAGGAACAGCAGTTATTTAAGTCCAGCTCACACGAGCCCACTCTGTGACGGGCACTGAGCTTGGCTTGGGCCTCGTCTCTCATTCCCTTCTCTCAGAACTTTTCCTCTCCATCTCCTGGATTTGACTCATCCCTTTTAAGATACTGCTGACCTCTAACAGCTCAAGGCAGGTTTTAGTGGCATGTTCCTGCAATTCCCCTGAGCTGGCCAAGCTTCAATTCCTGTGTCCTTTCATCTGGGGAAATGATTAAGTGTTTTGTGCTTTACTTTGCCTTTACTGTAGCAGAGTCTGGGGGTTTTTTTCCTCATGTCTGACATCTTTTAATGGCTGAAATTTGTTCAGTTCTAGTCAGAGACATCATTTGTTACTTATTAGATTTTTTTCTGTGGCAAATCAATGCAGACTCCTCTCTAGAAAGGACCAAACTACCAGAGTTATGTGTATTTCCTTTTATAAAATAAAGCTTCTCCTGAGAGAGCAAGGATTCTTACCAGGAGTTCCTGAAAGGGAGCCAAACATCCTGTGGAACAAAGAGAGAACAGTTGAACAAGGAGTTAACACATGAAATGCTGTGTGAGACAAGGATGGATGGGAGCAAATTCTCTGTCAGTCAGGTACATTGTGGTGGTCAGAGCAGGGATCCCCATCTCCCTGTGCTCCTTCTCAGCCAGGGAGAGGGAGCTGTTGTAAGAAACATATTTTTAAACAACTGCATTGGGAAAAGACAATTCTGGAAAAGGAGGAATAGAGGAAATCAAAACCTTTCCACCCCTGTCTCATTTTTTCCCTCCTGGAGGCTGTGTGAGATGACAGAGAGCTGTGCTCCCATGTGGGGTGACTCAGGGGCTGAGCAGGGCCAGCCTTGCTGCCTTCTCTTCACAGTAATTCCTTCCACACTGATTCCTGAGGGGTAAAAGCTCTCTGCCTGGCAACAGGAAGTTTATAGGAATTTGTTCTTAATTTTTATACCCTGTAAAACATTATTAACTGCACTTTTCCTGACTGTGAAGCAGCTGATCACTCTAATTGTTGTTACACTTAATCTCCTGTGTTTTCTTCCCCTTTAGAAACTCTCTGAGGTCTCATCTCATGTAAATGGGAGCTGTAACATTTCTACTTCCACCAGGGTCCAGAGCAATTAATCTGTTACAAACTGTGGACCCCCGGGAGTGTTGGCAGTTGTGTTTACTGGGGTGCAAGTGAGCACCAGGGCAGGGTCAGACAAAAGGTTCTTACTGGGACTCCTGGCCTTCCAGCAGCTGCCTGTAAGTCGCGATCTCTTGCTCCAGCCGAGTCTTGATATCCATGAGGATCTTGTACTCGGTGTTCTGGCGCTCCATCTCAGCTCGGAGCTCTGCCAGCTGTGCCTCCATGCTGCCAACCAGCCCCTGGATCTGCGCCAGCTGCGCCCCGTAACGCGCTTCCGTGTCGGCCAAGGTGCTTTCCAGCGCCGCTTTCTGCCAGGGGGAACCACAGAGGGGCTGGTGCCACGTACAGGACTCTCCACAGGGAGGGCAGTACGGGCCCATTTCAGTGGGGGGGGTCAGGCAGTGCAGAGCTGGACGTACCATGCTGAGCTGGGACTGCAGCTCGATCTCCAGCCCTTGCAGGCTGCGCCTCAGGTCAGTCACCTCGGACTTGCTGCTCTGCAGTTGTTCGGTGTTAATGGCCACCTCCCGGTTCAGCTCCTCGGTCTGAGACAGGGAAAGCACCACATGAGAAGGATGGGCAGTGTAGGGCTGTCACAGCAGCTTTCTGTGCCTTTTAGCACTTGTTTCTTTCATGGGTTTTTTGGTCAGTATTTGCACAGTATGGAGGGGGTTTACCTTGCTGTGGAACCAGGCCTCAGCATCCTTCCTGTTCTTATCAGCCATTTGTTCATACTGGTCTCTCATATCCGCCAGGATCTTGGACAGGTCAATGCCTGGAGCAGAGTCCAGTTCAACACTGACCTGGCCGGCTACTTGTCCTCTCAGGGCACTCATCTCCTGTGGGGATGGCAGAGGAGACAAAGGAGGGCACAATCATCACTGAAAACATTATGAACCTCCTGTTCTTTCTTCAAGGGCTAAGGCCGACTGACTGCCCTGAAGTACTGGTGGGGGGTCCCAGCCCACACGGAAATCTTTTCCTCACCGCTGGAGGCCCCAGGGCAATCCTGAGGGGCTCCACATCTCCACAGGCTGTTTCTATAGTGCCGCTTTCAAACGCGTTTCCTGGGTTTTACCTCCTCGTGGTTCTTCCTCAGATAAGCCAGTTCCTCCTTCAGGCTCTCGATCTGCAGCTCCAGGTCGGCTCTGGCCAGGGTCAGCTCGTCCAGGACGCGGCGCAGGCCGTTGATGTCGGCCTCCACGCTCTGGCGAAGCCCCTGCTCAGTTTCAAACCTTCAGAAGGCAAAACAAGCCCATTCAGGTTCGCTGATTAACCAGCCCACAAGAAACACATTATTTTATATGAGAGTGTTTGGGTTTGTAGGATTTATGTGGTGCAGATGGTGCTTTTAGCAAATACATGAAGGGCTGAGCTGCACAGACAGGATCAAACCAGTGTTCACACGGGGGTTTTATGGCCATTCTGTTCTTGTTTCATTGCCCTTTGGCTCAACAGGGGGTTTTGCCTACTCACGAGACCTTTCCCCTCTCCAAAATTACTCACTTGGTTTTGAAGTCGTCGGCAGCCAGCCTGGCGTTGTCAATCTGCAGCACAATCCTGGCATTGTCGATGGTGGCATCAAGGATCTGCAAACAAAGGGAGCTCATTGCTGAGGCTGAAACAAGTGTTCTCTGCCTCCCTGCTCTGCAGATAAGAGTGAAGACTCTATTTCATCTGTAGCTACTGCAAACAGAGGTGTAGGGAAGAATCAATGATTTGCAGCAAACACATTGCACAGATTTATCTCAGACTTCTGCCAGGATTGGCAGCTTTGGATGTATCCTTGTGTCTGGTGTGTGAAGTGGCTTTACGTAGAAAAGCCACTTCTCTCAAGCCTCTCTCCACTGTGAGACAAAACTATGGGCTGGCTTAGGGGGAGAGGACTTAGAGGTAACGTCTTGGAACATATTTTTATTTCCTAGAACACCCAGGACAGTGTTTATTTATTCTTTTAATGCATCATGAAAGCCTCTAAAGGAAATGTTGTTTATTTAGGAGGGATCCCTGTTCAGTTTTACCTGGAAAGCACATCTTTGCCTGCCACTCCTAAAACACAAAAACACAAAAACAGCTGGAGCAACATTTTCCCTCTCTTAATGAAGGGGAGTGAAAGAAAGGTGGGAAAAGAATACTGAAGGAAAAAAGTCTCCTTGCCAGTTCTGCCTTCAGCAGAGCTCAGATTCTAAATCAGGAGCGAAGGTGGATGGGTTGCAGGAGGAGCAGGAACCTGCATGGGAGTGGTCATGAACTCCAGGCTGAACTCCGAAAACTAAACCTCAAGTTTTCTTTGATTTATTTACATAGTTTAATCAGCGACTGCCTGTGTTTTGCAGGGTGTGTATCACCTCAGCAATCTGTTATCAGGTACCCATGGGCTCTTGGGGCAAATCCTGCATTTATATATGGCATTGATTACTTCGTGTCTGCTGCTTCCTTCTTCCCTATGCCAAATGTTTCAGTGCTTTTATCTCCATTCCAAGGTTAAGTAGGGGAAAGATGAAAGAGAAATTGTCCTTAGCCCATTTTTATTCTCATTGTTAAAGCAATATGATGGGGCCTCTAAGGGTTTTCAGACCTTATGGCAGGTGAGAGGTACAGAGACAAGCAGGTTGCTGTCACTGCTTGGTTCTCTTTATATATCAGTTTATATATGGTGATATGTACATTAACTGGTCATAAGTGTGTACATGGCCAGCATGTGTGTATGTACATGTGTGTGTACAAAAGCAAACACTGTCAGAGAGTTAAGTACTCAGACATCCCACACTGACTGGTTTGTGCCTTCTCCTGGCTAACATCTAAAAAGCAGATAATTCCCTACTGACATTTTCTTTATCCCCCGCCCATTCCTTGCACGTCCATCTCACCTCCCTGCAAGGCCCTCTGGGGGCTCCCTAGGGAAGGTTTGCTCTTTGGGTTTTCATGCTGTGCTTCCTAAGAGCAAATCAAAGATGGATTTTGGTAAATATTAACACCTACCTTGTCTCGAAGGTCCTCAATAGTCTTGAAATAAGAGCTGTAGTCCCGAGTTGGGCTTGGCCCTTGTTTTTGGTACCAGGTTCGGATTTTAGTTTCGAGGTCAGCGTTGGAGTCCTCCAGCGCGCGCACCTTCTCCAGGTAGGACGCCAGGCGGTCGTTCAGGCCTTGCATGGTCGCCTTTTCGTTTCCCGAGAGGAGCCCGTCGCCTCCCAGGCCGCCCCCATAGCTAAAGCTGCTGCTAAAGCCGCCTCCGTAGCCTCCCCCCAGGCCGCTTCCCAGGCCCGAGGAGACAAACCTGGCCGAGGACACGGACACGCCCCTGCCCCCGGAGCCCCCGTGGATGCTGGGGGCCCTGAAGCTGCCGCCGAAGCGGAGCGAGGAGCCGACAGGCCCCCCCGCCACGGAAGAGCTGGTTTGCCTGAAGCTGTAACTGGCCATGGTGAGGAAAACCAAGGACCTTGGAAAACCAAGCTGCACTCACAGGTTCCTGATCCCGAGGCAGGAGTGTGCCCTGCTCCCCCACCTCACTGCTTTTAAGCCGGTGACAATGGGAGTTGTCTCCAGAAGGTGTTATCTGAGACCCGTGGAATTTATCAGCCCTAAGCCCTCTGCCAACACGGCAATTCCCTTATTGGTCAGTGGCTGTGGAGTGGGCTGATTCCTTCCCAAACACCTCCACACACGGGAGGCGATTCCTCCCCCTGACCACCGCCTCTTGAAGCAAAAGGTGGGATTTGGAGGAGGCGTCTCCGTGCCGAGGGGAGCGTTCCTACACCTGGTCAGAGTTTACCTGCATGGAAACAAAGGGGTGGGAGTGCACGGCCCCCGCTGAGTGCCACGATCAGAGGGACTCACACAAAGACCTTCTTGTGTAATCTCATGAAAGAGTTTTAACAGAGTGATTCAGCCTGATAACAGAGCTTGAAAGGAGCCGAGCTGGTGTGGACATGGACAAAACCTGTTCCTACCCCCTTTTTTTTCCTCATTTCCCTTGAGACAGGTTTTTCTTTCAGAAGTGACATTTTCTCTGTTTTTTTCTTTGCTCTCCATTCCGTTTGGGCTGACAGAGAACCTGCTGCATCTGAGAGTGTCTAGTTTTCTGCAGACACAAGAATCCTTCTGAAGCAGCCATGGCTGCATTTGTAGCAAAGAGAAGCATTAACAACTCTGAGTACCTGGGGAGTGAGGAGAAACAAGTGCCTGATTATACACTGAGTCCTTTGATTGCTGCTCAAAGAGAGAAGTGATGAGAAGAAACAGAATCACTTAGTCTTCTGGTCTTTGAGAGTCATGAAAATGTTATTTCTAAAATTTTCAAGTCTTCTGTTATGCAAGATGGACTTTCAAAATCCAAAATCTTTGCTACTGCAAGCTCCTCCCTAAGCATCCCTAACACACGAGGGGATACTCACAACTTTCCTTCCATTCTCCTTCCTTCTCACTCCCTTCAAAGTTCTGGAGCTCCCCAGAAGTGCTTTGGAGACAGAGGGAGTGCTGTCCTGGCAGCGTTTGCAGCTCTCAGGAGCAGCCAGGCCTTCCTATGCCCATGAAAAATGCTCCAGGTATTTCAGGCCACACAATAGAGCTGCACTCCCTGTGTACAGAGGTGTCAAACTGTGGGGCAGCTTCAGGGAGGGGAAGAACAAACAGCACACGGGAAGAACAAACAGCACCTGTATCACCTTTATCAGGAACCGTGCAGTGACTCAGGGATGCAATAAATCACTGGATACACACAGGATGTGTGCCACACTTCAGCCCTGGACATCGAGCTGAGTTCTTTCCTCTCTGTAGAGAGCTCTCCACCTGCACAGTGAAGCTGTGCAGCCTCTCCTCAGAGCCACAGGGCCACTGCTGCTGCCAGAGAAACGACGTCCTTCCTCCCGGAGACCTGAATGTCCTGTTCAGCCCCGGGCGGGACAAACCTGCCTGGCCAGTAACTGTTCCAAGGGCTGTGAACAGGTGGTGTCAGGAGGCTGCAGTCTGCCTGCAGACAGAGAGAAAGCTGCAGGAGAACAGTTATTTTATCACTAAATACTCAAGTCCATAGTTAGAGCATAAAGAACATCAGTCCATGTGCTTTTCTGCACTGAAGTGCAAGAAGCTGAAAGGAGAACAAATCCCAGTGTGTCCTTTTTGAGGTTTGTCTCCTGCTGCAAGGAGAAAGGAAGGTCCTTCCCCTTAGGTAAATCCTTCAGCATTCCCTGGACTCCCACGTCAGGACCTCAAAGCAGTGTGGTTTTGGGTTTTGCAAAATGAAATGTACATCTGTTTTATGATCCAACTCATGAAAATGTGGATCTGGAAGGCCCCTGCACTCCCTCTGCAAGCCTTGAGTAAAAGCAGCAATCCCCATGTGTCACACTGGCAGAATATTGATCAGGTACTGCAGGCATGGTGGGTTTGCATCAACTGGCAGGGAAGAATCTCCCAAAGAATGAACTGCAGCTCTTCATGGCAGTTTGGAAGTACAGCTGAAAATGTCAGGAGAGGAAAGGCTTGGGATACACTGCCAAATGGATTAATCTGATTTGTACCACCAAATAAGCTTCTAGTACCAAATCAGTCCCTCACACAGCATTTGTGCTAAAACTGAATTCTAAGTTTCCAGAAAGGTTTTGGTTTTTTCTTTTAACTTCCATCTCTGTTTTACCTCAATGGCTGCATGTGTTTGTTTTTGTAGGGACTCCTTTAAGGTGAGAACATGTACTTAAATGCTTGGAAAAGCCTTTAGTATGGCCAGTGAAAGAATGTGCTTTTAGCATTCGGCATAGGTCTCATTTTCTCCCAGTACCATAAACCTAATTTATTGTAGGGTCAGCTTTTCCCCTGTAAGGAATGGTCAGCACAGGGATTTTCCTTTATCTGCACCTTATCAGAGGGGAAGGGAGACACATTTTTTCAAGCAAAGTCATCCAGTCACACCCAAACTCCTGGCTGGAACTGGGTTCTGCTTTACTTTTATGAGCTCTGCCTTATAAAATCGTTATTGTTGTTTCAGGGTAGTTTTATTAACTGTAAACCCTTTTTTCTTGCCCTTGAGTGACTCTGGCATATCCTTCTCTCTTCTCACATCCTGCTGTATTTGCTACCAGGAGTTGCTAATGCAATTCCAGTTAAATGAACTTGCTGGACATTTTAACCAGCTTTGTTGGTGGCTGCAATTCCAGTGATGCTTCTGTGGATGAATGAGCAATGTAGAGTTATTATTCTGAATCTACCTTTTAAATTTTTAACTGTTTGCTCCTTCTGGTAATTATTCCTTTCTGCCTCTGCTTCCATCAGTGATAATGTGCTGCCTTTTCACATCCACATTTTTAGTCTCCATCTCTTCTCTTGCTCATCCAAACTTTGGCTGCCCCTCCCAACCAGTTGTGCCACAGGCCCTCTTAAGATCCCAGCTTGGGATGTTTTTCTTCCCTTTTGAAGACCACAGGCATGAAACATTTGCTGCTCTTTAATTCAAGCACAAAATGCCATATTTTTTTCTTTAAACTTCCTCGTGAGAGGAACCAATGACAACAGGCTCTGATCTGCAGCTGGTAGCAAGGTAACTGTGGTGAATGTCTGCCCAGAATACATTTCTCACCTGTCTGGCTTTTATAGCCCATCATTAATCTTTTTCCTTAATCCTCACAAACCTGGCACTGCCATATAGTCCCCAAATGTGCCAACAGATTCAGAGACAAGGATGTTTCTGTGCTGAAGGGGCAGGTCCCAGCACGTGCACGCACGGCTGGGAGCGGTTGGGGAAGGGGAGGGAAGAGCAGAGCAACAGTGGGAACTTGCTCAAAATTACTATTTTTGCAAAGTAGAGGGAATGTGGTGAAGGGAAATGCATGTGGGAAATGCACAATTTCTGCATTGAAAGAGGTGAGAAATAAGGTCATGAAAGGGTTCTGTGTTAACAGAAATGAGGAGAGTAAGACACAGGACAAGCCATTCCTGTCCAGGGCTCTGGGTCGTTCCCGGCAGAAGAGAAACGATGGATCAATGATTTGAGCTGAACTGGAACCATTCCTGCCCAGGCTCCTGCAGAGCTACAGAATTTAATTTCTCAGTGGTTGCCATTTATAGAATATTTTAATAGATTAGTATGAGGAAAATAGTAAAAGATCCTGAAGAGCTCAAGCACTTCAGTAATTGCGAGCAGTGTGAATACTTGGCAAATCCTTGAAACTGGCTGTGGTGTGGAAAAGCCTCATTATTGTCCCTGTTACCCTAGAAACATAAACAGCTTTAAAGTCTTTATCAGTCCAGAACTCTAACGATAAAGCACATAAAGGACTAAAGTACCTGAGACAGGAAAATAAAACAGATTTTCTTATGGTGTGATTAAAGATTGTGTGGGAAGGAAGGCTCAGTTGGGCACCAAGCCCTGAGGAGTGAAAGACAACTCACTGGATGTACTTTTACACTTCCTTTAACCTGTTATCTGGCTGGTAAATCTCAGCAAGGTATGATGGGGCTGGAAACTATTATTTAAGAGCCAAGCATCCAAGGGCCAGGAGGACGTGTTCCAGAAGTCAGGTTTGTGCAGGCAGCGGCAGAGGCAGCGCAGAGGCTCTGCCAAACCCCGGCAGACTGAGCCTGTCCCGGGCCAGGGGAGCTCTGGGTGTTGGACTCTGGCCACATCAGTGCAGTCACAGTGAGGGAGGAGGCCTGGAACTATCACAGGGATCTTCCCATAGGCCACGTGGAAAATTCCTACTCAAAAATGCCTCCCAGATTTGGGAGAAACAGAGAGTAGATGGGGTGCGTAGCAGAGCTGAGCTGCTTTATTCTGTAAAACATTTGTATGTGTGTTATTTCTATCTATGTGCTCATATATTTATATCTATACACACGTATTTGTACTCACAGAATTAGAGATTATTATTTCTCTCTCTAATTTCATAAGAATATTTTCTGATCATGGGGATAAGCCACGGCTTCCAGTAAGGGCTGAGATTTTACTGTGCAAGCCTTAAACACATGTTCTGGATTTGAAAACAAGGAGCTCTCTTAGTACCCTCCTGATGGATCCTTGGATTTGGGCTTTCCCAATCCTACAGGCGGTTTCATACTCGGTTTTGCTTGAGAGGAATTCTTGGAGTCTCCAGATCTCTCTTGGGCTCAGTGAGAAAGTCCAGCTGTTGCTCTGCGAGGGCCAGTCCTGGAGCCTCCGGTTTGGGAGCTGCTGCCAGGGAGGTGTTTGTAAACACGTGGTTCTCATGGCAACTCTCAGCCCACAGAAAGCCCTTGGGAGCCCTGGCTCTGGCTGCCCTGGCTGGCCACACACCTTTAGGGGAGGAGAAGGGGATTTCTGGCTACTCTTAGCAGTTTGTGCCACTTTCAACCAGGAGCATTTTCCCCGTGTACCAGGCAGGTCCCTCCCCAGGCAGGTCCCTCCCCAGGCACTCCTGGCTGTTACCTTAACTGGGAGCTGTGGTTTTCCA